GCCAAACAGCAGCTTAACATTGGATTTAGCTAAATGGCTCACGCTGAAACTTTAGGAGGCATCTCCAGCTCAAATATTTTTTGCTTATAAACTGATTTTTAAATGTTGTTGTTTTTTTGTTTTTTTTTTTTTAATCCTGCATTACTGTATTATTTCTAGCGCAGCCATAAAACCTGTTCCTTACACTTGCATACTTATCTGTAATAATACCATCTTTATAATCAGAATGTGCCATTGATGTTGAGATGTTTTAACTAATTGCCTGCTACTCAAATCTGTATTTAGTCATGAAAAATACAGGCAGACTATCTTCTGTCTGCAGTTTTACCAGTTGAAGAGTTCAGCACATTCCTGAGCTACTGCCCTTCCCATTGGCTGGTTCAGGTGAAGCACATCAGTCACAATAAGCAGGATAGTCTTCCATATTTTAAGATCTTTCTGGTTAATTTTGCAGACACTGAAAGCCAGATCACTGAGGTTTGCAGTGCTCATAAAGAACATGCAAGTTTTGGTGCTGCAGTAAAAGAAGTGAGAAATAATAAAAACATTTAGCACAAGTCAAGCAGCTGAGTTCTTCCTTCTTCTTACAATTTTTAGACTTAGAGTCATTAATTTGCTTTTTTTTTTTTTCAGGAAGTATTAGGCTAGAGCTCCATAGAATCTCCTTTTAAAACAGACCTTGCCTGAGGGTGCTGTGAAGGCAAAAGGTGGAAGGAAGTTATACAGAAATCAGGATCACGTTGCTATCATTATTATAGTCAGCTATATTCTCCAGTGGCTGCTTTGTTGTTCTGTTCTGCATTAAGATTTTTCTGGATATCAGCAGATCTGAAGTTATAATACTGAGAAGAAAGAGAGGGTAAATGGTTTAATGCTCTTTTGTTTTGTTTTTTTTTTTAAGGCTTAATAGCACAAACATGAATATGTATGAACTCAGGTTTCCTCAGCTGTGTTAGGATCTGGAATGAAATATGCTGCCAGATGAAAAACGTAGGAAAAGTTGGTATGCAAGGCTTGAAATTCAGAAGAGGTAAAATGGTAATGATTTGGCTGTAAGCAACAAGCTCAGTGGGGGCACAAAATGTTTTAATCTTCAGGAGAGTCAGTATTAAAGTAATTTAATGCTGATAAGTAATTTGAATGAATAGTAATCATTATTATTCAGGTTTATTCCAATCTTGGACTTTCAGAAACCAGGATGAGATCTAATGTAAAGATATTTTATTGTAGCTTTCCTCCACTGTTTCTAACATTTCACTCTACTGCCTAATATTTACCACTGTACAAAACAGGAATCTTGGCTGGAATACATTAGTTGGGATCTAGTCTGGCAGGCTCCTGCTTGCAGTAGATTAATATTTTCTGAAGTGCTCTTTATTTCCTATCCTGTTAGTATGGATTTCCCTTTACAACTGCTTGGGTTATTCTGTTACCCATCCTACGCTCAGCACGTTGAGTTTCTAACAGTTCCTTGGGAAAAAAACAGCAAAGAAAAGCCCTCTGGAGAGAAATTTCTGAGCAGTGACACAAAATTCCACATACAACACTGGTTCCATTTTCACCACATTCCTTTTCCAAAGCAAACAGTTTGCTTTCCTGTTAACTGGGAGGTGTGAGGTTGCAGGGCTCTGGAGCTGTGTGAATCCCATTGCTGGCCCAGGAGCAACACTGTTTGCTCTCTTCTTTCCTTCCTCGTTGCTTCCTGGGGCTTTATTTTCTGTCAGAGGTCCATCCTTTCTGAATGGCAGTCAAACACTTGTGCAGGTGGCAGAATGAAGCCTGGAGTCTCTCATGGGACCAGAGATGGTTGGTTTGAACTTGCGATAGGGTTTGGAAGATGATACTTAGTATGCTTAGTTTTTTAAAGCAAAAATGAATTCTTTCAGAGTTCAGGAGACTGTACACACAATGCTTTAGCAATATGCTGTGACTGAAAATAAGTAAATGGCAGGTTCACGTTCATTCTGAGCTGCACACTTAAATCTTCCTCCATAATGCTGGATTTCACTCTCAGTGACTGCTAGTTTTGTTTTTATCTGCCAGTGACAAACGTTAGAGATCAGATCATTAACAAAAGTTAGAGATCAGACAGACACTGGAGTTAGAGGGAACATGATGCAAGATACGTTTTCTCTGAATCATTGACTGAGAAACTGCAGAACAAATCTCCCCAGAGCTTTTGGTTTTTGGAAAAGAAGACATGAGCCGGGTGCTTACATTTTTGGTATGTAGCAGGTTGACATTTGAAAGTGTAATAAATTGCCCAGCCAATATTCAGGAAATATTTAATAAGATCCAAGTATGTACATTCTAGAATGTTTGTTCTTCTCGCACAGATGATCTGTCTGGACTAAAATATATTGCTTTAACCCTCAAAATATCCTGTCTTATACACATTACTCAATGTGTATGGAAAACAGGCTTTGTAACAGGGCTGGAATTCAGTGAATTGAACTTGGGTGAAAGCAGAGGGTCTTGCACAACTTAATCTGTAGCTGCTTTACTGTTAAAAGAGAGGTGGCTTATTTGAGAAGTCTTTGTCATCTTTTAACCTTGAACCGACCAGCCTGAGTACTGGATGTGATGATTTAGGATGTGTGTTCCTGGGAAGTGGTGACAAAAGACTGTACTGTAATACAAATGAAGTGGAGTAGATCCTCGTAGGGATTCAACTCGGGCAGCTGCATGGACAAAGTACTTTTGGATAATCCACTGTTCTTTTCTGATGCTTTACTGCACTTGAAACCAGATGAAATGTTATTCATCCTTGGGGTGGAAGCTCAAAGGCAAAGCGTTGCCTGTGGTTTGCAGGGCAAGAGGCAGCCCCTGTCCTCCTCTTTATTAAAGAAATTGTGGTGTCCTAGATGTAGCAGCAATCCTGCACCAGAACAACAGAAATGGTGGGCACGCTCACGATTTGCACATGTGTTTTGTCTGTTATCCATCAGAAATAACATTAGCCATTATGCATAAAATGCTGTCATCTGGGCTCAGTCCAGGGCATTTGGTTGGTGCAGCTGATTTCTGTGGCCTGTCTGGGTGGCCCAATATTGCAAAGCATTTCTGTCTGAAAGAGGAAACAGCCTCTTCTGTCAGTGCAAGCTGTACTTTGAACTGCCTGTCCTGAGAGGACAGACCACTGCAATCAGCATTCATATACCACTATTCTGGCAGATTAGAGAGGTTTCCAATAAGGCAGTTCTATATTGAGACCGTGGCAGACTTTAGGATTTTTTCTTTTAAATACACGTTCCCAAAGCTGGTGGTTCTGGATATCTGAAAGGATTCGTTTCATGTAAAATTTGCATTATGTAAATGAGGTGTAAAGTGGTACTGACTGCAAGACAGCCAGCCATCTGACAGCAGAGGAGAGCACGGTGGAATTGTAAAAGAGGATGACTGGGGGGGGGAATAGCCACCAAAGTCATTGCATCATTGGTGCGGATGGGAGAGCTTGGATTCATGGAGCATGACGTCTTTCTCTGCAGCTGTCATGAGCTGCCAGATCCATCTCCTCACACCTTTTGAACACAGACAAGCAGATGAACTCCTTGATTCAGCAGCTTCTTCAGCCATTCTCATTAGTGTTTTGTTAATCACTCTGATTCTGGCTTTCTTCCCTTCTCCCCTCCCAGCACTGGGGATTTCAAGGTTCAGCTTGCATAACAGGTAATAGCAGGCATTTCCTCCTCCTGTGTCGGGATATCCTGGCGCCCTTCAGTCTCTCTCTGACTGTGTTTAAAACGGACTCCAGCACAGGAAAAAAAAAGTCTAAAATTAGCAGCCTTGATAGAATAAAGGCACAGGGCTGTCCACTGCGCTGTTTGTCAATGAAACAACAAATCTAAACAGGGCCAGAATGCATTTCCTCTGTGAAAAACAGACATGCAGAGTTCTGGGGAGGAGGAGAAGGAGTGAGAGCAAAGCCAGCATTGCACCTGAAGATCAGGGAGTTATGCAGAAGGTATCCAGGTTGCAAAAGACCACGGTGTGCGTCAGGAGGGAGGCTGGTCTGCGGTGAGGCTGCATGTCTGGCTTTTCATTGCACTGAGCCAATGCACCTGGAAACTGGATGGGATGCTTTGAGAGATAAAGGAACTGTTACTGCAGCCTCCTCTTGTTTGAAGTTAGGTTCACCCTTAGTGTGGGTGGTTATTGCTATGGGAACCGTATTTAAATAACCTGGGCTAGATGCTGCTCTTGTGGCAGTGTGGGCTGGAGATCTCACGTTTATACCATTCTAGATATTCAGTGTTGTAAGAATAAGAATTGAATTTAAAAAAAAGCAACAACAACAGTGATTATAACCTATTGGGTACGTTAATAATAATTATATGTTTCTAATATGGACCTATAGGGAATTTGAATGTGATACTCGATTAATGATGCTTTCATATATGGATTTTTATAGGATTAGTATAATAAATACCAAGTGACTTTATGTAAAGAAGAAAGGTACTACTGCAAAACTCTCAATATGATTCCGTGATTTCCTCACTCATTTCTATATACAATTTTTGTCTATGAGAATTGCTGTGGAAATTTTAGTTACAACTGTTCCTGTTAAAATTTGCAAGACACGTTTGTCTACCAAAGTCCAGCTGATCTTCGCAGTGCAAAATTCAGTTAGCTAAAAGCACAATTGTGTTTTAGCAAGACTTCAGAATTTCGTCCTGTCATTCTGCATTCAAACAGCTGCTGAGGTATATTCTGTCCTGCTAAGCAGTGGAAATACGTTGCCTTGATTTTGTTTCTTTCAGGTTTCATAGGAAAAAGGAATGGCTTAGTCTTCTGCCAACTTAGAAAAAGCATTCTGATATTTCCAGCATGAAAGGTTCTAGTAACATACTGCAGAATCTTGAGGGGAGTGTGTGTTTGTTTTGAGATTTGGGCCTTTTTGCTATGCTTTCTCACTTGAAAGTTTCTCCAGGTAACCATCTTTTCCACCTGGATTTAGTAGGGATGGACGAATTTTTCCTTAAAAAAAGAAGTGTACTTACTGGCAAGCTGGAACACAGCAGCAATGGCTTCCTCCCACCACTGGGTATCCTGAGAAATGATGGGTATCTCCACCAGGCCCAGGACGAAAATGAGCTGGCCAGCAGTCAGAGCAACAGTAGCGATGAGGTTACAGGCTCGCATCATGTCAAACTGCACTAGGGAAACATGAGAAGGAAGCCTACAGTTAAAATGAGCTTAAAAAAGAGGGCGTTGAGGGTGAAAAGGAAAGAAAAAATCCTGGCTAAGCAGGTATGTAAAATTTTCAGTCCATAGAAAATGATTCTTACATCTCTTTCCCACTCCTGACAATCCCTTGGTCTTAGCCCTCTTAACTGCATTTTCTGTGGTCTGATTAGGAACAGATTTTCTTTAGGAACTCTTTCCTTTAGGTAATGAAAATCCTGTCACTTTTGCTTCAGTGCCAAACAGTCTGGGCTGAAGCAAGTAGCCCATTTACAAGACAGCCCACCGAAAACTCTTGGTTTCTGCCCTGCAAAGATTCTGTGTGTAATTAGCAGTCAGAGTTGTGTGTTGCAGGAACTGTCCTTTTGTTCTGCATGTATGGCACTGATTGAAATGGAACCTTGGTTCATGGCTTGGGTTTTCAAGGCCTTAAAACAATCATCTCATGGCAAAAGAAATCTGGAGCTCTCTTGTCCTTAAGCATTCTGTGGGCAAATGCTAATACATTACTGGTTTAAGAGATGTTGATAGCAGAGAATTAAAAAGAGAATTCTTAAATCTTCCTTCTTTTAACATTTATTAATCTTTTGGACCCTCTGAGAGGACCCTTGTGTTTCTTGCTGTGTAATGATGTCAGTGTTTGACAGTTCTGAATTAGGTGTTCTGCCATCATTTACATGAAAAGTTACGTGACCTTATGTATTTGTACACCTTAAAGATAAAGCAAAAATGCAGAAATAATTACAGATATAAATATCTCAAGTCTTGGATTGGAACCCGATTCAGCTGGCTGCAGGATAGAATATATTCACTGCATAGTGCAGTCCTTTCAGTCAGGCTTCTTTTCCTACTTTTCCTGTTAACCTGGTGGATGTCCTGTTTTCATCCTTTTCCTTCCTCTCGAGCAAAAAGGTGGGTTTTGTAAATATCATTGTGCCAGTTCAACATCTCTTGCCAATATGTCACTGCTATTCTGAAATAAAAGCAGCTCAATGTGCAGAGTATTACAAACAGAAAGACTCCAGGCGTTAATTTTCACCAGGTTTTCAGAAGTGACATAGCTGTTACGACTGGATTTGGATGCACTAATTTTATTTTCCGGGAAACTGTTAACAAAGGATTAGTTGTCAGCTAGAATGCTTTGCCTACGGCCTGTTCCTATTTTGGCAGCAGGTTTCTGGATTTCAGTGTCTCCAGACCTCAGAATGCATTTTTCCTTTCTGCAGAATATTCTGGAAAGGTCACTGTTCCCATTGCACGTTACTGGGCAGTAAGGCTTTGTGTGATTTGCTGAACTAACTTCTTGTTAGAAAGATAGGCTTTTTCCACCTTACGTTTCCATGACAGTCCATGAATGACTGAAGAGCTGATAGCTGAGAAAGCAGACAGCAGTAGAGAACAAAGAGAGTTTGGAGTATATGTTGAAATTCTGATCTCTTCTGTTGTTCACGTAATGCCTGAGTCATGCTGGCCAAGTGGTTGGATCTTGTCATTCTTTGCCACCTTAACCCTTCAGCTGAGACTGAAATTCCTGATCCTCTAAGGGACTGCCAGGAGTACAGAAAGCCCCACAACTCCATGATAGAAACAAACAAGAGTGAACTTCACAGTAGTAACCATTCAGTCCAGTCTACTGGTGTGAGCCATCAAAGAAGTTTACTTTTATGTTCTCCATAGCTCGTGTTTAGCTCCCAGTGTTGTAAGAAACAGAGATTTAATTGAAGAAAGATTTAATTAAACCTCAGTAAAATGTTATTTCATTTTAAGGAGTTAAATAAGAACCAGAGGCCACTCAACTTTTTCACATGAAGCTTATAACATTTTTTGTTTGTTTTCCCGATTAGTCCATTTCTGACAAGGGAATTTCACTTAAATATTTCACTTAAAATATCTTACCGTTTAATGTTGCCCTTTATAACTTCTGAATCTACAACATAGATTACTAATCTACAGTTCTAGCCCTTACCACATGCAACAGTTGTAGCTCATGACAGTAAATCATATTCAGATGCACACTGAGCTTTGTATCAGCAAAATATTGAGCACCAGGAGTGTTCTTTGCATTCCCACTGAAGTAGATTTCTGTAATACTTTGAGGACCAGTGCTTACTGAAGAGAGAGTAATTACTTTGAAATGAGAAATGCACTAGGAATAGCAGGCTTGCAGTCATTATAAAACCACTTGCATTTGTCAACAGCCATCTGTAGTGTCAAATACAAAAAATGCTTCGTTTTCAGTCGTAGTGAATTCTGTTGTCTTGTCTGCTTATAATATACGTGAATTTTAAAATAACAATAAAAAAAATAACCAAAAAACAACCTCCCTACACACACACACCAAAAAAAGGCACCAAAAAACCTCTGGATCTAAAGCTTATCCTGGGTTCTGGACCCTTTGGGCATAAGATATTGTGTCTTCACTGCTCCTCACGTCTTTTCAACTGAACTGTTATAAATCCTGTTGACCTCACCAATGAATTAGGATTTATTTAGCATTGTAAAAGTTTGATAATGACTAACTCAATTTATTTCAACAGCATCTGTAATAATTTAGTCCTGAAATAATGGTTCAGTGTTCACCATCTTGTCTTGCTGTTGGAGTGCAGTAGGCTGTGGAATGCAGGTCTTTGCTTGCAGACTTAGGGATGCTTGTTCAGTTAACATGCTCCACTATTCAGACACATAGAAGTACCAGTACTGTTTTACATAGCTGTTGCTTTCAACTAAAAAAACTCGCACGTGGTCCAAGTTGGAACTGCAGCAGGGTGACAGGAACAGAATAAGGAGGAGGTAGTTGGTGTGATCTTATGAAACATGGAAGCAGTTATTTTTGTGGAATTAGGTAGGACAATAACTGAGTGCCCTTCCACACCTCCTATTGGGATATAGCAGCTGTTTCATCCTAAAACTTTTAATGTACGATCTGTCGTCTCTTCATTTTGTTCCAGAGTTGTAATGACTGCTCTTTGAGAGGGAAGGGGATCAAAATTAACAGTGTTTTAACTCCATTCTTTTCTCAGTGGAAATTACTAATTTTACTTAGTTTGGAAATGCCACTCTGCAGCTTACTCTGGCTTCTTACTGAGCCATTGTAACTTTACATGTTGTGAGCTCAGCACCTACTTCTATTTCATACATGTGCAACCCTAAGCTGAGCTTCTTCAACCTGAAACACCCCCTCACCACCCCCTTCAAAAAGGTGGTAGATGTGGAAAGCACCTATGGCCCCAGGGAAGTGGTGCTGTTTCCATCCCTGGTGGAAAAGAGACACATGGATGTGGCACTAAAGAACGTGATGTAGTGATAAATTCAGGTAATTCAGGTTGATGGTTGGACTTGATGATCTTGAAGGTCTCTGCCAACCTGGGTGAATCTGTGATTCTATTGTACAAGTATCTGTGGTTGAGGATAACCTAAAAAATGTGCAACTGAGAAGCATTTTTTCAGAGCCTGCGCCCAGAGTCTTCAAAGCTGTAAATTATGCTGAGGAAGGGTCAAGGCTGTTCTCATGTTTGTGTAAGTGGTCAATCCAGGCATAAGCAGTCCTTCACAAAGATAGCTATAATAGCATTTTTGAATGAGCCCTGAAATTTGGTGTTTACCTTTGCTCTTTTGCCTGCTGATATTTAAATTTTATATACTATTAAATTTTATATACACAGAAACTCTTTGTTAGCAAGCTGCAGTCCATTCCAGTGTGCTTTCCCTATTTGTTATAATTGGTATGAATGTAGAGCTTGCTGTTCAACCATATTGATTCCACTACAGCCTTCGTGTCTTTTAAAAGCTTCATTTTTGCAAAATGATTTATATAAGTCACAGAACGTGAAAGTAAGAGGTTCATAGCAGTTGTGAACACAATTATAGGCATTTCAATTAACCATTAGCTTCTAGAATCTCTTGTGTAAGGCTGTCCTGACAACATAGGTAATTTGGACATCCCACTTTTTTGTTTTGAATTCATTGTTAATGGCACATATCTCCTGAAGCTTCACCATCAAAGGCATTTCCTACAGCTAGAACGGGTTGCTTCTAGCAGAACAGAACTGAACACAACAGGAGGTGTTCATAATTACTGTGTGTCTCACTTAAGTGAGGAGTGGAGGTCAATCCAGTACTCCTCTGCTTTTATCACACTTTTCCTTCACCTTTCTTAATGCAATTTAGCTATTGAGAACAAGGATAGGGGTAAGTACTGAATGACTTCAATACTCTGCCCTAGGTGGCTGTTGTTAAATACTACAAAGTACTAATCTCTGACTCTTCCTTTTTGGAAGCTCATCCGAATCCCAGTATACTCTGAGAAGTACTTAATTCACAGGCAGGGAACCTAGCTGGGTTTATTGTACAGCTGGGCAGTTTGGGGCCCTGGCTGTTGAGTTCTGCTTTGACAATGATCAGTCAAGGGTCAAAACCCAAACCCCAAGGATGAGACCAGTTCAAATTCCCCATTGCACTGCTCATTTCCTAGACCAGAAGTATCCATCTGGATTAGCAATGTTGATTTGATTTGCTTATTTGCAAGCAGCAATTTAATGTTACATGATAGCCCCAGGGTTATTTGTGCTTTGCAAAAGCAGATTAGTCATGCTAGAGGGTAATTCACAGTGTTTCAGAATTACTGGGAAGGATGATCTCATTGAAAAATCAGATGGTGTTGATTGCTGAAAGTCTCAGGTTTTTTTTCCCTATTTTGTTTGCATTTAGGGAAAAAGCAGTGATAGGTTGGAATTCAAGCTGTTGACAGATTACATCACGGTGTATGTATTCATATTAAGCAGCCTTGCAAGATGCCCTAATACTTATCTACAACTTCCCCTGAGAAACAGCACTTCCAAAGTTGTTAGTGTAAACTTCAGGCCAGCTTCTGTACTTCAGTTACCAGGCATGGGAAGAGGTGAGTGAGCACAGCTTCCCTCACTATGTAGGAGCAGTACAGAACCTGCACATCTCACCATGGCTTCACAGCTTA